ACATGATAGGATCGAAGTAGATTAATGAATAAAAAAATGGAAAACTAGCCGTATGTAGGTACATTCAAACATGTGATAATAATTCAGTTTGATTAAATATAATAGTAATGCATAAGTTATATATATTTATATTCTTTTTAACTCCTCAATAATACGATACACATACACCCGCATAAACTATTTATTGATCAATTAATTTGAGAGCTTCCAAAAGCACAGTTTAAAGTAATTATCGGTGCAGTTAAATGTATTTTAATGAGCCGTCCAAATTTTTTAATGAGCCAGGCATCTCTCAAAACATGATCTACATCTCATCCATCTGAATTAGTAACACCTTGTTTTATTTTTTAATATTACATTTACAGGGCGGCTCGTGAGTTAAGTTTCCGTCTTCCAGCAGAGTTTTGCTGATATAATATCTCATTTATATGAATTCTATTTTTGGAACTACATATTAATATTTTCTTGTGTTAAATACAAAAGACGTTTCTTCTAGATTCATACTATAGTTTTATTCCCTTAAATGAATTTAAATTTTCCGTCTGCCACTCATGTATTATTTCATAATTATATATCAACAATATTTCATTGAAATCTCTTGAATATTGATAAACAAAAACGTTCTGTATATTAATTGAGAATCATTTTGGATTTTTTTCTATAATTATTGCCACAAATTTTACTCAATAATTCGCGAGATCATTTCTCTTGTGTAGATACATATATTCAAAATGATAAGATAAGAATTTGTTTATTTCAATAAGAATAATCTATTCATATTAAATTTTACCGAATCATTAAAATAGCGGGCTCATTGCCAAAAAAATTACGTTTCAAATAATTTCACATCAACATTTTACTAAGAAAAATATTTTTAAGGTACAGGTAAAAATGTTTATGGAAGCAAAACCAGACAAATAATATTGTATAGATGAAAAGAAGGAAAATTGTTATCATCAAATAAATGAAAAGAAATTCATCACACAATACTTATACAGGGTGACTGGTGAATTACTATCGATATTTGAGGACGTGATATTTGACGATCATATATGACAAAATAAAAATTAATATAACATAAATATTAATAAACTTCTAAGTAAAGTTAACCAAAAGTTGTGTAATTAATTACGCATCGTATGAACACCCTACAGATTAGGTATACACACGCACTCACACATACGCGGCGGGGGCGTGGTTTTGTATCAGCACGCCGCCGCACGCGTCCACACTGGGTACACTTGGAACGTATCAACACTTTATTTATTTATACGGAAATTTTGTCAAAAATTAAGTACCTATTTTTTTTACATAATTCGAATGAGAATCATGTACCGAGTATGCTCCTTAAATATTGATAGTAATTCACCAGTCACCCTGTATATTAACATCAACGCAATCAGTAACTCATAGTACCCTAGAAATAACTAAGAATACTTTTAAATTTTACAATTAGTTTCTAAAGATGAGTTTTGAGGAGGCTGATGAGTAAAGTTGGAATTACTTAAAATAAACATGACATTTTAAGAACTAAATTTGAGTAAATTCGCGTTAATTCACATTCATATTTAGAATTCTCAGACGTTAAAACGTTTTTTACAAAAAAATTACAACACAGAGGTCTAAAATTTCTTAATTCTACGATTAGAATGTAAGCGTATTTTGTGATGCAAACAACCATACTTATAATAAAAATGTAAAGATAACTAATATTTAATCGCTGAGAGAATTAATGAAGGTCTGCCTCGGACTTGTTTATGCACTTAAAGGAAATGAATGAGGACAGAGTTCAGGTATATTAGCATATTGTTAAAATTATTTTCAAATAAGATTATAAAGAAAATTTGGTTTAGACCGAGCAATGTGTTTATATAATTCAGACAAATTCACAGAACGTCACGAGACGAGAAATATTGTTTCCTGAAAATCTCAAGATTGATATAGGGATTGTTGTTGGTATAAAATCTATGTGTTTTATTAATATCATCGTAACCGCAGTTCAAGGAAAAATCTTTAATAAAGAGTTTCCATTATAAATCCACTTCTAAAGCTATCATCTTTTATTACTTTGAAATTTAAATGTACATATAGACAGCTACGGAAATCGGATAGTATCTAGTTGTAATATGTATGTAGATAAGTTGGACACGGAAACGCAAGGACGGCGGATCATCGTGTCCCTGGGATCATTTCCTGCTTCATTTCCTCCACAATAGCTTACAGAGGTCTCTGATAATACACGATTTATATATACAAAACCATATTATATATTTCTATATAAAAGACAGACTACATTTATTATTCTAATATTGTGTTCGTCTAAATTCTAAACAATACAAATCGAATTATTTACTTGGTACAATAAATCATCTAGCGATTTTAATTTCAATGTTTATTAATTTATTATCTCCTATGACTAACCTTTGTAGTTTCTAATAATCTAGTTACTAAAACGACTGTCAAATACAACCCACACGGTTTTTGATAGAACATTATTATCCAAGGCAACACGTAAAACATAAACAAATCGTATATGTATCTCTTGTAAAATATTTTCTCTTATCTCATACGTATTCCGTTACAATCGCTCATATAACGTAATAATCCTTAAATAGAATTTCACGTAACAACAGTTATAAGTAATGCGCCGAGTATGAAAGAGAATTTCATTTAAAGCGAGCGGTGTAAGTTACAACAGAGGCTCGCTGTTTAAGACTTATTTAGCGTAAAAACGTTTGAAACGTGGCACCGATTCGCTTACGTTTTTCTTGTTAAAGAATCCTTTATCGTCGTGGCATTTGATATTATGAAGGCAGCTGGCGCCTGCAGCTTCCGAGGAATGGGTGCAGATTCGATTGCACTTAGCAATACGATATTTTGTCAGTGGCTATGTTCAGGCATTCATCAGATAGATGATGTCTCGTGTCGAGGCTTCTTCTCTCGTAACCTGACACCCGGACAACCTTTTGTGGTAGCTTTACAATGATTCAGCATGCGCCCCTTGTCTAGATTAACAGATAATGTCATTTGAGATAGTTTTAAATAGAACGTCGAATATAATCGTCGCTGTCTGAATGTTTGTACGCTGCTTGTAGGTTCGACTCGCTGTTGATACTTGATGAAGGTGTATGAGGTCTACATAATATGCTGTTACGGCATATTACGTGCCAATTGTAGGCCGTTATGCAAGCGAAGCGGCTCGGGCTCGTGAGAAGCGACTAACATTCAACATACACTCCAATAAACATAACATATTGATCACTCATGTATGTATAGTATGACCCACTTTATTACACAATTTTCCAATGTTTTACCGCTAGACTGCGTACTATTCCATAATTCTTTTTATCAGTTATTCCGACAGAGGAAAAGTAATATTTCAAACAATTTATGTCTCTGTTCACCGCCATATCATACGTCAATGGTGATTATGAAAATTTTCGGTCTGAATTTAAAAATATGAAAAAGTAGAACACAAGACGACAAAAAAATCTATAATTGAAAGACGTCGCCTATGTTGGACAAACATGTGTTACGCACTTTAAAAAACTTCGAGCCCTGAAAAAAATGATGAAAAAAGGCACTCAAACGCCTGAATATCGCCTCTGACAGGAAATATGATATTTTATTTTAGCCGTGGGATCAAACCGAGTCGATAATTTGTGTTCCGAGGAGACATCACAGGAGACTTTGAAAATTAAATTAGTAGAGAAATTCCTTTCACTTTACAAGATGAAGGTTGACGCTAATATATTTAAGTTTCACTAAATGAAATCTCGATCAAAAGACCGTCTATAGACGGCTACAAGGCGTTGATATAAATTGGATTCTTTATTATTAATCTATTTATATATTCTGAAATATTTATTTTTATTATAATCAGTTTCAAGATAACATCGAGTACAATCTCCTTTCATGTAAAATGCATGTCGCTTTAATGACATCAGGAACAATTATCATACAAAAACAATTATTTCGCGGAAGCCATATTAGGAGTGATTGTCAACAATGACATTGACATTGATGTTAGGCTTAGCAATATATTAGAGCTGACTAATTTTATTTACTATATAAATGATAAAGATCTGAATGAATCAATCAACGATTTAAATTTTATATGACTTTAATACTAAATTTAAATAATAAGAAAGAGCTCTGTTTTTGTAACTGGAACCTCTATGACTTATACAGCACTACGTCTTGTTCTAGTCGTCTCAAGTTTGTACAAAACTTACATGTCTATATTATTCTAAAACATAAAACAAACAAAGTAATATTGAATGCTCAAAGGAACGTAATTATTTAACAACATAATAGAAAGAGTAATAATATTTAATGTGTTCCTTTCAATTCGCAACGATCATGAACTACTATCCTTTAACACAGGCTGGTGTTAATACGGCGACTAGCGAGCGGTGTCGTTGCTCCTATAAAATCGTCTCAAGTGTAAACAAGCGTAAATATCGGGCCGCAGGCAGTCGTAAAATCTATTTCTCGTTCCACGGCCAAACCTATTACTATATGTTTTTAAAAAATCCAATTAAATTATTATTGACGTATGTATTATGTACATGACTTGTATTACGCGACTCGTCTGTTCTCTATATTATAGTTTACGACAAAGGCAGTTCGATGAGTCACGTGTGAAGATCCTAATATTACACTTACACAAAGCGAACGCCACTGGCTTGCGATCCGTCTCGATTGCTATTCCGAGCGCCGACGGACATCACTACACAAACTATTCTTGAAATATTACGTCATATAAACTAAACGCACACGGAAAGATAGCTACGATAATAACAAGTGAAACTAATATTACGAAAAGGACGCCCCGATAGTATTAATAAACAATACCGTACTAAAAAAGGAACAAACAGTGAACATTCAAAGTCAAATCGCGAACACTCAATGACAAATTTTATTAAAATAGAACAATAAAACATGTAAATGTCACAAAAAACAAATAAGAGGATATAATATAATAAAAATATTATTCTTCAAGCATCTTCCTCCGTCTCTGGTGGTATGTGTTTAAGAAACTTAACAATAATTGGGACCTCAAAGTAGGCAACAGCTACGTCTCTCATATGAGCCGCGGTCAACTGTAAACTCATTTTAGCTGATGCTATCGGCGCGAAGTCTCGTGGGGTCGCTTTGATGGAAATATCTGCCACGATGCCCGGGGCCAGGAGGAACCTGTTGCGATCCAAACAGCACCAGCCAGCACCCAGACGACCGGCTTCGTTCGTAAACCGACCGCTTTTAATATATAACAATCTAGAGCTGGCGTTGCATATCCTAAAGAGTATATTCTTATTAACAATTTGGCTGAAAGAGGTTGATAATGACATTATTATATATTTTTTCATACCTCAGCTTACGGACGATCACGGAATTATTGATTTCAATTAATAATTTTGTCGGATGCCAAGTTATTCGTAGCGGATAATTCGGATCTCGTTGATGCTCCCGATCGGAGATTTGTCGTTTGGCATCCCTTTCTTTACGTAACTTAAAGTTTGACAACGATACCTATGATTTAAACATTGTATAAAAATATCTTACATATGAAAATGTTTACTTTTTTTGTATGGAGGAATAAATAGCATGTAATAATAAGAAACGCATAACCTGTTCGGCTTCTAGTTTTACTCTTGGATTACACGATATGATGGGCGGTAGAGGACTTGGATCTTCATTATCTGTGAGCTCCGACTGAGACGGCATTGGGCCCGAGCATCGCAATAAAGCTTATGTTATTAGTATCTTATAATTACACGTTTCACATACCCCGATACTTGGAGATAAACACAAACTGAATGTAAAAATCTGACACGAACTGTCAATAACGACTTTGACATATGCGTTTTATTACATAGGTAAGTCTATTTGAACACGGATGAAGGCCATATTTTAAACAACCAACCAATTCATTTCAATAGAATGTTGCTATCTTAAAGACAAAGCAATTGACCACGGTTACTCCTTTTTAACGTACTATTGGATGTCAGTCTTGATAATAATTACATCTCAATAAACCCACCACTGTTTTTAACAATCTTTTCATCATGAAACAACTGGTATTTAATATGTTTATTTTATAAAATTATTTTGAACATCGCGATTTATAGCATTTGTCAAATTGACACGATCATTTTTTACTCATCAAAGTCTATTTTTCTTTGAAAAGTGAGCGTTGCACAAGGTAAATACATAATGAACTAGTTCTTGCCAACGACTTCGTCTGCGTTACTTTCAAAATTGGAAATGTATAGCTGATGGGCTGAACTCTTTTCCTCCTTAAAGGCAGTTAATAAGAAGATATGGGATTTTATAATATTTTTTCGATGCTATAAAAAGTAAATAAAAACAATATTTTTCGGATGTACTACGCGATTTTTATTTTTATCAAAAACTACATACTCCCGAAGTTTCGGTTACTTTACAGCAACCGTGATCACGGGTAGACGAGATGTGTCCCGTTCTATTTAAATGAATACTCACGAAAATCTTAGATCTTATTACGTATAAAAGTATCCTGTTTTTATCCTGCTTCTAAGTTATCTCTCCACCTATCTTAGCATAAAACGAACCATTGGGATGCCTAAATCTCCTGTATGTAACCACTCGTTTTGCATTTATAAGCTCGTTAAAAAAACTCACAAATAACAAAAATATCTATATATTAAAGAATTTTTTTATAAATACTTTAATATAATAATAAAGATTAAAGTATCTTAAAGAGTACTAGCGATGTAGTTGCATAGACAAGTCTTTAATATCAGCCGATCATGTTTGTCGACAAGATTGTTAAATTGTATTGAAATTAACTATATTTAATATTATTTTTATGTCTATTAAGCATCACTCAAAAGTATAAGTTATTTTATACACGGTTATATAAAACTATAGTTCCGTGAAAAGTTATTTTAAAACGCAACAAATGAACGTAAGTCACGACGTCGGTTGGTAACTAAGTCGTCGCGGATCTCCGGGTCGTGGTTCCGGATGCGCAAGACTTCCGCTCCCTTAGGAGGCGTTACGCTTCGTGAACTGCTCGCTTTATACATTAACCTTTATAACAAGCGGCTCATGTGACGTGAGAAGTGAAATTAATTATTATTCAATAGTTAATTAATATCCATTCAAGAACTGTTTTACTTTATTCGCATCATAAAAAAAATAATTGTGTAAAAATAGCACTCGCGGTGAAAGATCACGTCAACCACATAGAATCATTGCGTATATAATAATCACGATATGGACTCGAGGTAATTATAAACATTAAGGAAACGAACAGATAAATACTAGGAACGTATGTAGATATGAAAGGAGGATTGTGAGCAACTAACTTTATCGCAGACACTGATGGTTATAGCCAACAATTAAACCGCTTATATTAAAATATGACATTAATACTACGATGTCTGTTATAAGGCCCGATTATGTGTGTATTGCAGGTCATATATGTATATTGAGAATGGTAGGAACTGTTCGCTCGTAGACTAAACAATGAGATCAGCTGGTGTAGTGGGTTCCGAGCGACATCGGTTCATATTCAAATGTAAACAATAACCTTCATTGTACAACCGAAATACATCATACATGACATTGTATCTAGGCCAGTGTTTTTACGTCGTACAACAGTTTTACAATCGAGATATAAAATTCTCATTACTTAGTTATAAAGATTCATTTAAAAAAATTGTTTCGTGAAATTTAAAATAGTTCAATAGGTCTTCTTTTATCTTCTGTCACTTTATCTTTTAGAACGATGTCAAATATTTAATTGACATAATTCAAACTCGCATAATCGCAATTATATTTTGTGCTATTTTAAAATTGACGATAAATATATTGCAAAAAGTTGCATAGGTAGAGTAAATTAATCGTCATTTAAAAGGACAGAATAAACGTTTTCTTTTTTACGTCCAGATATTAATGATACAGCACAATAAATAATCAAGTACAAGGAAATACTAACCTCTTGATATCAAATTGCTTGTTCATTAAATAAAAACATTTAATCTCTTTAGAATTATAGTAATAAATTACTTTTTATTTTCTTACATTTAACCTCATATAAGTAGGTGATATATTTTTTATATACATACAAATGTTTAATTTTATTATTTCTCATGGATAATTTTATTTTCTTTATATATGTATATGAATTTTTTATTTCTTGTTTTCTTCGTTCTTACGAGGCACAATCTTGTTTCCGAGGCTAACTTCTGATTAATTTTTATCGTTGTCTCAAATTATTGAGTAATTAATGCAAAGAAACTATTTAGAAGAAGACATCAATACATATACCAAATATATATTTTACGAGAGGAACTTTAATGAATAAAATAATAATAACTCCCCCAAACTATGTAGGTACAACTGGTCTTCAAAGGACACAATCTGATCTCTGTGGGGGCGACACACGTGATACAATTACTGGTATTACTTACAAAATACAATAATAAAAACTCATTTGATATTTGATATAAAGATGACATCTAATAGAAAACCGAAAGGAAAACATTTAAGAGATAATCGAGGGCCGATAGTGATGAGCCTTATTATGTAGCATTGACCCAAAAATGGCTATCAGATGAACATCTTGTCGATGGAAATTTATTCTAACTGCATACAGCTATAAAATGGTGGTAAAAGACAATTTTCCCTTCGAGAATATACAAAAAGTAATTTCAGTAACTTTCATTTAACAGTGACAATAACCTGCTCCCTTCCAATTGATAAACGAAATTTGTTCTGTTCATGTTCGCCCAGGAACCTAATAAAACCCTTTAGCACCCCGCATATTGATAGGGGCGACCTCCCTTCATACTAATACTACTGAAACTGGTTGGTCAAAGCTATGCAATTAGGTAAAGAATTGAATACATTTCAAAAACTCTTTCCAAAAAGTTGTTAGTATAATTAAGTACGAGGATTTATAACAAAGAAAAATAATTATATGATATAATGTAATAAAATAGATAGGAACAAAAACGTCGGAATCATTGAAAAACAGGAATTGCAACAGCAATTTTTATATGATTTATCCCTTAAATATGCGAAAAGTAAATAGATTTATATATATCAAAAGGAAAGTAAAATTAAATTAATTCCTGGTCATTACCACGATAGCTATTTCTCAATGAGTATATACCAATTCAATTATTCATTTATATATCAATTAATTCATTCATTATCAAATTATAAAGGGTTGTTATATTCCTATTTTACCAAAACCCAGGTACATCGATGGTTTTTTTTTACTAGGTTTTAAAGATAGATAAATCATCTCATAACTACATACTTTTACACTGAGCTGTAAAGAGCTTGTTATATCTCTGACAGATACAAGAGATACACTGGAAATACATCACATAATAGTAATATTGTCAACTAAAAATAAAGATAAATAAAACTCATTTTTAAAATTTGTATTTCCACGTTACCTGCTGGAAGGAAAGGATATTGAAAATATGTATAATGAATAAAGAATTTAACAACGTTATGTATCGAGTTATAAGCATTAATTAAACATTGTTATCGACACTTTGTAACGCCCACATATAACAGTATAAGATAAAAGATAGCTTGGCGGCTGATTTCCTTAAACATATCATCAATCTTCGTCCCACTAGGAAGTTGCCTGCTCTATTGTGATCTTCTACCTGGCAATTTCCCAGCTATAGCCAGGGTTTTTGGCTATTTGTTTTTACGACCGGCCGCCTGCCTGAACATCAACCCTCTTTTTGGGAATCAATATTAATCAGAGATGTCTAAATACTCTTAGAAAGTACATATGATTCGGAAAAATCACATTGGTACTTTCCCGGGCCAGGATCGAACTCGCGCCCTCGGCGACGAGAGGCAGGTCCTTTAACCACTGAGCCACCACTGAACCAACTGCTCTATTGTGATATCAGTGCTAATCGCGTCTTTAAATCCCTCTCGACCTTTGAACAAACTTCTAATTCCTAATATAAGCAACAAAGGAATGTTATAAGATATCACACAAGATGTCCGAGGTGAAGTAACGGATGACTGTCCGTGGGAACGTCGACCGCTTCCGCTCCGCTTGCGATCGAGTCTCAGCTATTTCCTTTACGTAGGGTGACCACGACCAACGATCACGTACAGAGGAAAACTAACATATTATATATAAGAAACAAAGATGACTGTTCTGTTTACAATTGTACGTGACATTGACTGAATACCGTACATACTTCGAGATGATGAGACCATAAATAAAAATTATTGAAGCCTGAATGACTAATAGCGAAAAGTTTTAAGTAAAATAATGTCTCATAATAAAGTGAATGTTACAAGGAATTTTTAAATCAAAATTTAATTCAGTGAAATAATTACGGAAATATAGTGATGTAAAATACTAATAATGTATTTAGCAATACAATCATAATAAGTGAGCTAACATGCATACAATGGACAGCGACGTTGATAAAGGAAGCCAGTTGTTACTATTGATAATTTTATTACACGACTTTTACATAATAATAATATCAGAATAATATAACAAGATTTTTATTATTTTCCTGCTTTTCGGTGACTGCTAATGGACGATTTAAATTTTAAATCTAGTGTATTAGGTTTAAATGTAATTTTTAAACTTGCGTTAAAGAAATTCGAAGTACCTACCTACTTAATATGTTTTACTAAATATTAAAAAAATATATATGCGTCTAGTTTTAATAATTAATTCGTAC